TTTTACTAGCTACTCGGACGATTCTCAATATCGATTATATAGTATTTATATACAATATTAATAGATACTCCCACTATCTCGATAAACTCTTTTTATATTATAATCTAGGGTTTTAAATAAAAATACGTATTAAATAACTTTAGTTTATTTATAATTATAAAAAAGGAGTTTAACGCGGTTATAAATAGAGCGAACCCCTTTGGGGTCTAGTCCGCCTTATTAGGGGCTAACTTTGCCCTTACGGGCAAGCTAGTTTACTAGGGTTAATACCGAGGTTTTATTACGTAATAAACTTTATAACTAATTATAGCCGGCCGTAGATATTAATAATCCCGCCGTAATATATTAATTACCCTCTAAATAGCTAAATACTACCCCTTACTTTCTCCTTTTATCTTATTTAATAATAACCTCTTTTTATTAATATTCTTATTTAATACGCTCGCCTTTACTCTTTTTAAGCTCCTAATTATATGAGTTTTGCTATCCGGGCAGTACTGTTTGGCTATCCGGGCAGTAATCCACTTTTTGGACCAATCAGAGCCTGCTGTCTAAACTCTAAACTTTTTTGCCCCGCTGCACCTGCCCACGGGCCACCTAGCGCATATGCGCCGCAATTACGTAAGGCAGCCGCAATTGCCCACGGTCGTAATTACCTACTTAATTACCTACTTAATTATCTATTTCTATAGGTACTTATAACCGTGGGTAATTGCGACCGTGGGCAATTGCGACCGTGGGCAATTGCGACCGTGGGCAATTGCGACCGTGGGCAATTGCGACCGAACGTGCCTGCGGCTGCCTTACGTAACTGCGCCGGGTGGCCCGTGGGCAGGTGCAGCGGGTACGGGTGTGGGGCCATGGCCCGAGCTCTGTAGCTGTGAGCCTTTATTGGCCCAAAAAGTGGGTTACTGCCCGGATAGCCAAACAGTACTGCCCGGATAGCAAAACTCAATTATATTATTAAGTCTAGGCTTATTTATATTATTTTATTATATTAAAAAAGTACTAATAAGGGCGACGCTTATTATAATATATTTATCTATTTTTTATAAGTTAATATTATTAATATAGTATTTATTAAGGCGGTTTTTTTATAGCTCGGGGTCGTTTAGTATAATATTTTTAAAATCGAACTTCTAATTATTAAAGAAGCCCTAAAAGTCGACGAGTTATTAATACTATCTTAGTATTTTAATAAAATATACTTAAGATAGTTCCCCCCGATAGAGCAATCTGCCGGGGCTATACCGTATATTATATATTAAAGAAAACTCAGTATATTACGCTTTATACTTAATTACTAATTAAAACTCCTAACCTTCCCCTACTTCTAGCTATTTAAAAAGCAAACTATACTTACTTTAACGTATATAAAACCTCTTAATACTAACTTATATAAATAACTAAATTTTATATTATATATTCTTTTTTATTAAAAGTTAAAGAGCCCCTTATATATTCCTTTATATTTATAATATAACTTATATTAAAAAAATTTCTAATTTTATAAAATATAATTTCTAAGTTAATATTAATATACTAAATCTTAATATTTATATTAGCCCGGTTATTTATAGCGTTTATATTATTACTTAGCTAAACTCTATATTATTAAAAAGTACTTTACTAATCCTTAAGTATACTTATATTAATTATAATAATTATAGTATTTAGCTAGCTAAAGAGGGTACTTAGCTTAAGAAGGGTAGATTTATTAACGGGTATCTTTAGTTCTAGCTTACTAATTACTAATTATATACTAAGAATAGAGTAGTAGTTTATATATTAATAAGTTTATTTAGTAAATTTATTTAATAAATTTATTTAGTTTAAATAAAGAGTAGTTTTAGGTAATATTAAAAATAATAAAGATAAAAAGAATCTTTACGAGCTTTAGTATAAGTAGTAAATATTAGCTTATTTAGCCCTTTTTCTAAAAACCTCTATATTATTATTAAAGTTTAGAACCTTTATAGTTAAAGAAGGCTATTTTTAACTATTATAGCTAACTATTATAGCTAATTATTATAAGTAACCTTTATTATTAACCTTTCTAACCGGCGCTACTGCGTAAGTATATTACTTAGCCTATTGTTAGTAAGTAGCGGCAGCTTACCTATCCCGAATTATATAACAGTTTTTATATTAAAATCACTATATTACGTTACGTATATACTTAGGGTATATTATACGTATTATATAATTAAAAAGTATACTGTATTATATAATTTCCTTTAAAAGCGTAATCTTATTGAAGTTGATTTATTATGCTTATAAAGCCGGAAAAAAACCACTATATACTTAAGATAGTTAAATAGTAATAGTAATAGTAATAGTATAATAATAATAAATAATAAAAGAAGCGTTTTCGACTTTAATAAAGGAAACGAGGTAACGAATATATATATATATATAGTAAATATTAATAATAAAAAGGTTAATATTATTTAATAATAACAATAAGGGTATCTCTAATACTACCGTTATAAGCTACTATACTTAGAAAAGTAACTAACTTAGCTAGGTATATAGGCTTATAAAATAATAGCGTCGGGTACTTAATATTGCCGTTAATAATCCGTAGTTATAAACTTTATAAGAGGGAAAGTTAAAAAGTTAGAAAATCTAAAAAAATAGTCTATTAAAATAGTAGGAGTATTTATTAATACTATATATTAATACTATATAAATAATATTAAGAATTACCTAAGTAGTTAGTAAAGGTAGAATATCAAAATAAATAAATAGGGCGAACTTTAGTATTAACTTATTAACCTAGATTAAAGCTGTTTTTAGCTTATTATTAAGTAACGTAGCTTAAGTTACCTAAAGTCTAGGGTATCCTCGTTTTAAAAACCTTTTTTTATATAATTATATATCATTTTATTTTAAATTAGTTTAATTAGGAGCTTATTTATATTATTAAATTAGAATTAAAAGGGGAAGCTATCCCTAATATAGGGTATTATACTAACATTTTTAATAACGTTTTAAATAAAAAAGTAATATATAATAAGAGCTATAAACGAACCCCTGTAGTATTTATAATATTAATAAGTTACTTAGACTTCCTTAAGTAAAACGAAGTAACTCTTAACTTATTTATTAACTAGCCCTATAAGGGGTCCTACTATTAAAAATTAATTAACTATATAAAAATAGAGCTTATTTTAATAAGTAAGACGAAATAAGAATATATTTAGTTAAGTAGCGACGATATTTAGAAAATAATTTCCTACTTAAACTAAAAAAAGTATATTAACTTGTATATTAATTTTATTTATAAGGGCTAGATTTATATAAAACCCTTTATTAAATAAGGGAATTAAGAAGGACGCATAACGAATTAATATAAATATATAGCTCTTAGGGACGTATAATATTCTCTACTTCTAATTAGTCTAAAAATTTATTATTAATATACTTAGATTTTATTACTTTTTTTTTAAAGTACTTATTCCTTTTTATAATCTCCTTTATATAATTATACTTTAAGGGAGCTTTATTATAAAACTATTATTAACTTAATACGTTTTATATCCTCTTTTTTTTGAGGCTATACTAGTTTATATATTATAAAATAGCTCTTTTAATAGCTTACGTACCGAGCTTACGTTACTAAGCTTAATTTAATAGCTTAGATAATTAAAACTATTTTATAAAACGCTAATATTTTAATAATAACGATATATTATTATTTCTTATTTTAAATAGAAGCTATGTTAGTATTAGCTAGTTTTATAAAATTAATAATCTTTATATATATAATAACTTAATAAATGATATTTTATTTAAGTTATTACGAAAAACGTAACTATTATCCTACTATTTATACTAATATACTAAAATAAAACTAACCTTTTATTTTAATTAGAAATTCTTTAATAAAACTAATACTTTTTAGTTTTTTACTATTCCCTAATTCTTATTAATACGTAGTCCTCCCCTTTTTAATAAAAGGTTTAAATAGCCTATACTTTACTTTATATACTATTTTCTAAGGGGGATATAGATTACTTAGTATATTACCCTCCCCTAAATATTACTAAAGTCTAGTCCCTTTCCTTTTTTTAATAAATCTTAATAACTTACCTAGCTTATTATAAAATAGTTTAATAATATTCTTTAGCTTATTATATAAGTTATTAAGACTAATAAAAGGTTAAAAATAGCTTTATTTAATAATATAAATAAAGCTATTTATAATAAAAAACGTGGGGTTTTTAAATAAACCTACTACCCTATTTATTTTTATAATAAAACCCTTTTTTGAATTTATTATTTTTTTAAACCGTAACTTTTTATTATATTTAAAATAATAAATCCTCTTTCTCTCCCTTAAATAAAACCCTAAACTTATTAATTCTTAGTAGCCTAGAGCTAATAATAAATACTCTTTTTTATTAAGTTAATATTTTTATTAAGGTTAATAGCTTTAATATTATAAAATACTATAAGTATAAATAAAATAAAAAAATATTTAGTATATATTTTAACACGACTAATATAAATATCCTAAGCCTAGTTATAATATAGGTTTAAAATAATAGAAATTCTAAAAATATAATTATAAATAGAAGTTAATTACTAAGGCTAAGGTCGACGGATAGTAATTATTATAATAATATAAAAATCTTTAATATAACTAATATAACTATAAGCTTAGTTTTAAAATATTTATATACTCTTTTTATTATAAGCTTACTTAGCTAGTTAAGGATATTATTAAAATAATAAGCTAATAGGTTAGGATTTAAGTACGTAACGTACGTATTATTATTTAAAAATAGTTCTTAGAGTTTTTATTTACTTAGTAAAATATTTATAATATTAAGGCTCGTATAAACTAAAAAACACTAGCTAAATACTTATTAACTATAGTATTAATTAAGCTATTTAATAAGCAAAATATTTTATATATAATAAAATAAATAAATAACGAACTAAACTACTTTATTAGCCTTATTTAGACCTTTTTTTACTATTTCTAAATATAAAAGCGATTCCCTAAGGTAATTAGCTTGAATAATACTTATAATACTAATCGCTTTAAGCTCCTTTATTTCTAAGTTACTAAATAAACTTACTTTAGATCTATTTATAACACTACGTTTAGCCTAATTAATAATAAGAAACTAGAGGGTTTTTAATTTTTTTTTAATAAGTATCCGCTAATTTATAAACTAATACTTAGTTTATTACCCTATTATTATTATTATAAATTATAATAAGTAAATAAAGGCTATACTAAACGAGTAGTTCTCGGACGTTTAGTAATAACTTTATATTTATTATATTAATTTTAATATTATACTTAGGGCTAAGTAAAAGTAAGTTAAGGACCGTAGTTATAATAATAATAATAATAGGTTTAATAATAAGGGATATTAGTTATTAATATAAATAATAACTATACTAAGTAATAAGAATAAGGCTTATATTAATATACTTATTAATAAGCCCCCCTCTTATATATATTATAAAATCCTTATAATATAAAAGTTTATTATTTTTACTTAGACTAAGTATGTTTTTAAAAAAGCCTAGACTAAGCTCTATAAAAAGTTTAATAACTAATACCTAATTATTATAACTAGCTAGTTATAGTAAGTATATTAATAGAAGTTAAGGCTACGAGTACTAAGTAAGTAGTATTATAGTCGTAAATAGCTTCCCTAAAGCTATATTTATAAGTTATAAAATAAATAAAGCTTTAGTAATTAATTATAATCTTATTAAAAAGGGTTCTTAAAGAAGAAGATAACTAAAAGTAATTATAAGATTTAATATTAAGTTAATTATTAAAAAAGCTATAAAAAGTCTATTTTAGAGCTTAGCTTAAGTTTATATTATATATAAGTTTATTTATAAATATATCCTTTATTAATAATTACCTTCTTCGTTAAGTAATTACTTAATAAATATTAATAAGCGATTATTTAGAATAATTATAATAATTACTTTATTATATAATTACTACTTCTTATTTATATATAACTTATTTATAGTTTTTTTATTTTATAAAAGTTACTTTATATTTTTATACTTTTATATATATAGTATATTATAGCCGCTATAAGCCTACGGGGCGGGCCCTAGTTTTAGTTATATATATTAAGTCGTAATATTAAGTCTCCTTTTTAAAAATCTTATTCTTATAAACCTATAAGTAAGTTATTATAACTTAAGTTAGGGCTCGTTAAGTAATTTTTTTAAAAATACTAAAATATTTACTAGATCTTTAATATATTATTAACTAAAGCTTATTTTTAAAATTAAAGAGCGAGGATTCGAAATCGTAATACCTTACTTATTTTATCGTTTATTAGGGTAAAAATATAAAATATTAGAGGGTAAATTAAAGTATTACGAGTATATACGTCGTAGTTGTTCCTATGATATAACTACTAATATTATATATAATCATAAGTTTTTCTTTTTTTTATTAATATTTTTTTTATATTAGTCGTACTTATAATAAATCGTTTTTATTGAAAGCTAATAAGTTAAAATGCGAGGAGGAAATAAGAGAGCTTTTTTTTAAAAAAATAAGTAAAAGTTTTATATTACGTATAAACTAAAATAGATTAGTTTTTATTGAAGTTAGATTATTTTTTTTTAAAAAAAAAGGATAGTATTTAAAAAGGGAAAGGCGATTCCTAATTTTTTTAATATTATTAATAAGGATAAGTCGGCTATTATATAAGAGGCGTAGTTTAGTAATACGTTTAAAATAATCGACTAGGATATTATAATAACTAAGAGTTCTAATTTTAATTTTATTTTTAGTATTTTAAAAAGAATTCTTAAGAGTTCTAGAGGTTTATAATAAGTTCTTATATATTTTTTTATATTTATAGTTTTTTTATTTAATTTGGAATTCCCATATTCTATTCTTAACTCTATAGTTAATAATTTATTTAACTTCGTACTCTAATTAATTTAGTTTAATAATAATATAATTTTCTATATATAAACTTCTTAGTATAAGTTCGAGTAGTAAGATATAAGAAACGAGATAGTATTATATTATATTTAGTAATCTTAATTTATAATTAACTAATAAGACTTTTTTTAATAATTTTAAAAAGTTTAAGTTTTTTATAGTCTAATTTATTACTTAGGCGTTTCGTTTTAATATTATAATAAAAAAAAAAATAAGCGCTATCCCCCTATTTTAAAAATAGTCTTTTAATCCTTAATCTATTTACGTTCTTTTTTATATATTATTATATAAACTCGAGGTTTAATAAGGCTTATTTATAAATCTTTTTAAATTTATTTCTATTTACTATAGCTTTTATAGCTTATAGTCCTTATTATACTTCTCTATATACTATTAACTAGAACCCATAATTAAGGTAAAATAGAGATTTTTTTATACTTTTATTAACTATATTATTATATATAAACTAAGCTATTAATAAAAATATTACCTAATTATCCTAGTCGTAGTTTATATAATAATAAAGGTATATCTCGAGGATTTAATTAATCTTTTTTATTTATCTATCGGTTTATAAATAAAATAATATTAATAGTTTATAGCCCCCCGATAGAGCAATCTGCCGGGGCCGTACCGTATATTACGTATTAGGGAAAACTAGGTATATTACGCTCTATACTTAATTACTAATTAAAATAATAATTAACTAACTCGACTATTATTTTCTTTTTATTAACTCCCGACTTTCCCCTGCTTATTTAAAAAGCGAGCTATACTTATTTTAATATATATAAGACTTCTTAATACTAACTTATATAAGTAGCTAGATCCCGTATTATATACTCCTTTTTATTAAGAATTAGGGGGCCCCTTATATATTCCTTTATATTTATAATATAGCCCATATTAAAAAGATTTCTAGCTTTATAAAGTATAATTTTTAAGTTAATATTAATATATTAGATCTTAATATCCGTATTAGCCCGGCTATTTATAGTATTCGTATTATTATCTAACTAGATTCCGTATTATTAAAAAGTACTTTACTACTTTTTAAGTATACTTACGTTAGCTACGATAGTTATAGCGTCGAGCTAGTTAAAAAGGGCGCCTAGCCTAAGAGGGGTAGACTTATTAACGGGTATCTTTAAAAAGTTCTAACTTACTAATTACTAACTATATACTAGGAATAGAGTAGTAGTTTATATATTAATAAGTTTATTTAGTAAATTTATTTAGTAAATTTGTTTAGTTTAAATAGAGCTTTAGGTAATATTAGAAATAATAAGGATAAAAAAAATCTTTACGAGCTCTGAGTAATAGATATTAGCCCATTTAGCCCTTTTTTTAAAAACTTTTATATTATTATTAAAGTTTAGAACCTCTATAGTTAAGGGCTACCTCTAACTATTACGGCCGATTATTATAGCTAATTATTATAGCTAACCTTTACTATCGACCTTTTTAACTAGCGCCGCTATAGAGTAGCTTACCTATCCCGAATTATAAAACGGTTTTCGTATTAAAATTACTATATTACGTTAAGCACGTACTTAGGGTATATTATATATATTATATAATTAAAAAGTATACTATATTATATAATTTCTTTTAAAAACGTAATCCCGTTAAAGTCGATCTTTTGCGCTTATAAAGCCGGAAAAAAACTACTATATTAATAGTTTATAATTTCTACTAAGTTATAAAATTAAAGATTTCTAAAACTTTAAAATAAATAGCTTATTTTTATTAGAAATAATTTCTTTTAGTAAACCATAGTTTAAAAGTATAATCTTAGTAAATATATATACTAAGTCTTTTATAATACTTAATTCTTTATAAAAAATAAAGTATATAAACTTAGTAAATCGATTGACTATAACTAAAATACTATTATACTATACTTTAGTAAATAGTTTTTTAGACTTTAGTAGTTTAATAATAAAGTCCTATATAATAAATTACTATACTTTTATTAATAATTATAATAGTTATAGCTCGCTATAAGGCTTATATAAGCTATTTTTATTTTTTTTATAAGTTATATAGTCCTTAATTACTTTTATATAGTGGTTTTTTTCTAGCTTTATAAGTACAAAAGATCGACCTTAACGGGATTATGCTTTTAAAGGAAATTATATAATATAATATACTTTTTAACTATATAATACGCACAATATACCCTAAGTACGTGCTTAACGTAATATAATAATTTTAATACGAAAACCGCTATATAATTTAGGATAGGTAAGCTACCCTTTACGTAATAGCGCTAGCTAAAAAGGTTAATAATAGAAGTTAGCCGTAATAATTAGCCGTAATAGTTAGTTATAATAGTTAGAAGTAGCCCTTAACTATAGAAGTTCTAAACTTTAATAGTAACGTAGAGGTTTTTAAAAAAAGAGCTAAATAGGCTAATATCTATTACTTATACTAAAGCTCGTAAAGATTCTTTTTATTCTTATTGCTTTTAATATTACTTAAAGCTCTATTTAAACTAAATAAATCTATTAAATAAATTTACTAAATAAACCTATTAATATATAAACTACTACTTAAATAGCTAGTTAGATAACTAGTTAAGAGGTTAGCTAGTTAAAATACTACTTTAATAAGAACCTATTTTAAAAATACCTATTAATAAGTCTACCCCTCTCGGGCTAAGTACCCTTAGCTAGCTTAATATTATAATTATTATAATTAATATAAGTATACTTAAGAAGTAGTAAAGTACTTTTTAATAATATAGAATTTAGCTAAGTAATAGTACGAACGCTATAAATAGCCGGGTTAGTACGGATATTAAGATTTAATATATTAATACTAACTTAAAAATTATATTTTACGGAGCTAAAAATCCCTTTAATATAGGCTATATTATAAATATAAAGGAATATATAAAGGGCCCCTTAACCCTTAATAAGAAGGAGTATATAATACGAGATCTAGTTACTTATACGGGTTAGTACTAAGAGGTTTTATATATATTAAAATAAGTATAGCTCGCTCTCTAAATAGCTAGAAATAAGGGAAGGTTAAGAGCTATTAATAAAAAGAAGATAATAGTTAAGTCAGTTAACTATTATTTTAATTAATAGTTAGGTATAGAGCGCAATATACTTAGTTTTCCCTAATACGTAATATACGGTACGGCCCTAGCAAATTACTCCGTCGGGGGGTTAATTACTTTTATAATTTTAGTAT